TTTATATCAGCATAAGCTAAAAACGTGTAAAATATAAGCATGAACCTGTACTTACATCAGTGACGTATCTACTTCACCTCCCCCCGAATGTTTTTTTTTTCCGAGTTTTATTTACCTTAACGTCGCCTCCGTCTTAGATAGAAAGCACCAGGATTAATCACACCAGGATTTAATCACCACGCTGTTCTTGCATTTTTCTAGAAATCTGTATGCCTGAACACCATCATCATACACAGTATAATAGATTCAAGTAAGATGTTTCAAATGATATAAAAATGTATGCAAACATGCCTTTGGAACAGTTTTTTTTTCGAGTTTTATTTACCTTAACGTCGACTCGGTCTTAGAAAGCACTAGGATTAATCACACAACAGTATTTTTGTTAATCATTTAATTCCAAAAATAATCAGTAAATCCTGTGCAATAAATAAAAATACATAGGTCCTACATAGTAAACTGATTAACAATTAAACACATTTTGCATAAATGAGGTCCCATAGAAAAATTGTAATTTTTATGATTATTTAAGAAAGAATAATGCCGGGCACTCACTGCGTCGTACGACAAATCCAACTCCGATCCCTGTGAAAGATAGATGACGCAAAGCCGTCTGCTGATTTCGGTAGCAATCTGAACCTTGATCTGAACGGATCGTTGTTAAAGTAGCCAGCTGCTACTTTCGGGCATCCTAATTATACTTTTAGAACCCAATCTTAGGGATTTGCAATCACAATAACTGTGATTGGATTTAAAAATAAATTTTCCGACGACCTCGCTGTTGCGTCGGACGAGGTGGGTAGGTGGGGGGGGGGGTGTCGTGTCAGGTTTTCAATGGGATGGAAATCCAACACAATCATCAGTCCCAGTGTGATGCAATGCAACGATAACTAGATTAAATATGCCCTTGATTATACGCTACAACCAGAAAACCACCATTTTTTTGTCTAGGGCGTTTTATTCTCGGGAAGTCTATTAAAGACTAAATACAGAAACCCTCAGAAAATACCAAATAGAAAATGCTGATTATATCTTTTGTTCCTGCACCCTGGTCGGGAACCCTTTCCCCCTTATTCCAGGTTGGACTTAGTACAAGAAAGTTAGCGTAAAACTTAGTGAAAGGTTGAAAAAATTGCAACAGAATTTATTTTACCACAGTGTAAGGTTCCTATTTGAACATAAAAAAGTATAGAAAAATCAAGGTACGAAAAATATGTGGAAATGCGTTTTATTCAAAATGGCCGACAAAATAGATAAAAATAGGAGAAAAAATTGTAATGACATCATAATAGGTCATATTTATGAATAAACTTTTAATTTTTTTAGATCGCCACTAAGGTTTTTAATATTTAGCAACCAATGTATGTATTACTTTATAGAACAAGGCTAATATCTTATAAAAGCGGCCGCCATTGTCTTGGATTTTAAAATGGCCACCATGTAAAACATATATTTATCTATATCTACGCTTCTAAACCACTTCGAATTATAATTCTAATGTCCAAAAATATGTTTTTTATGGTCAAGAAATATTACCATACAATTTTTTGACAGCGTCAGATTGTCATAAATAGGTTATTTAGGGTCATTTAAGGTCATTCAAGGTCATTACAGGTAAAATATTGTATATGCATCTTAATAAACACAGAGGCCTACAGTAACTGTCGTGTTTTACATCAGAAATATTCTCAACCTCTTAGAATTCAGTTTTTTATGGGAATTACAGTATTTTATTCAAGGTCATTTTGGTGGCCATCTTGGATTTCAAAATGGCTGCCATCGATAAAAAATGTTAATATCTCTGCTTTTAAAACATTTCAAATTTGAATCATGATCAAAGATTTACATTTATACCATTTGTGACATGTTAAGATGGATATTATGGTCATAATTAGTCAATTAAAGTCAATCAAGGTCATTTTATATTTAATACTTTGTGATATGCTCTTGTTAGCAGTCATGTTTTAATGTAAACATTATACTTAAGCTCACAGAATTCGATTATTTTGATAAGAAGTAATTATGGCAGCCATTATAAAATCATTCGATTTCATTAGGTCAAGGTCATTTAGCAGCCATCTTAAATTTCTAGATAACCACCATAAAGCCTATATCAATGTTAAGAATTTTTATGTTTTATGTGTACTGTACATAGTAAACAATACCATTGTATAATTTGACATGGCCAGGAGATTATAGTCGTAAATAGGTCATTCAATTATGTAAAAGGGCAAAAATATTGCATTTTTATGATTTATGTGTA